TACGTTACGTACGTACTACTATATATATATATATATATATATATATATATATATATATATATATATATATATATTGTTTTTATTTATATAACAAATATTATTTAGGAATATGTCTCACAAAATAGTCGCTTTATTTTAATATTTAATATTTAAGTAAAGATAATGTTAAAAATAATTGGATTTAATATTCTTTTTGAGAATAGTTATAACACCGTTTTATTATATTGCGTTATTTTAATAATGATCATGATATAACAATAACATGCTATGCAATAGTTACATCTGTGTTAGTTACGATATACACATTAATAAAATAGTAAGCATGCTTTGCAAAAATGGATAGGGAAGCTTACTCTGAATTATTCATATTTGACTCGGATAGGCAGTGATTATCTCCCCTTGAAGTTGGTGGTCTTCGCATTGTTACAGTTTGCGTTAGGCTTTCAATTTGTAAATCGCAGGTCTGTGTTATGGAATAAATTATTAGATTTAGAAATCTAATGCAAGTTTGACATTATTGATATTATTTCGATATTGACTTGAATGTTGAACTCAGAATAGTTAGAAGCTTACCCTTTTTCCATATTTAGCTTCTACTTGATTACGCATTGACATGAAACATTGTTCTAAACGTTGATGAAACGGTGCTAACTCAGTAGGCGCTCGTGTTTTGTGCAATTGTAAACCTACACTAAGCAGAGGAATTTGCTCTGCAATAAGTCCTTCTAATTTGAGAAGATCTGAACTCTCGTCTGGATGACTATCTTTGTACTCTACGTTAAGGAAAGCTCTTTCATAGTTATCGATACCACCCATAACAGCTGGGTCCAATATGCCATTCAATTTCATGCTCAAAGGATTTAACGGAAGACTAGGATCACTCCTGCGTAACAAAATTGTAATTGTACAAAAATTCATATTATAAACAAATAAATTATTTTAACATTTTCTTTTATTTATCAGAAATTATAAAAAGATATGAAATGTATATGTAACTTCGAAAATAATATAACAAATAATATGTGTATAATAAAAAGATATGCAAACCTATGAGCAATAATGAGATCTCTCAATGCTGTATTCGTAGCTTCCATAGTTTCAATCGCATTTCTCAAAGGACTGACTAAATATGTTTCACTAGATATCACAGGAAACCATCGAAGAATTCCCGGCAACGAGTAGCTTGTAACAAGCACTGTCCTTTCCAACCATAATGAGGCAAATTCATTGCTATTATTAGTATTGGCATTCACTTCCTTTTCTTTATCACTGTTTAGCGCGACAATTTCCTTTCTTGGTGCAGGTCTTGAAAATCTAAAGCGTTGTACGTCGTTTACGCGATGATATCTAGAATATAAACAATAATCACAAAAAAATTGATGAGATTTTATATAAGCTGTATTTATTTCAATAACATTCAATACACACCTTAAAACTGCTTCTGCAGTAACAGGTTTACCACTTAAACGATGTCTTTTTTCATCCATTAATGGTTCTACCTTATTAATTTGTACATATTGATGATATGATTCTAACATTTCTGTGGTGGGCGGAGATAATTTATTCATTTGCTCTGCATTCGGTAATTGATTCAGAGTTCTCGTACAAAAATCGCTAAGTCGTTCATATTCCTTTCCTCGATAAACAAATACCTGTATTGCAAATATTACTTTAGTAAATAAAAAAATGGAAACAAATAAAATCAAAGATAAACACGTGAAAATACCTTGTTCTGAAGAAAAGCGGGATGTCCTCTGCCGTAATATGCGACTCTGAAGTATTCTGGTTCAGGTCTTAATTGTTTCACTATACAATCATAGAACTTTGCCATGCGTTGTAAAAGTACGGATAGTTGCAAGTAATCAAATGTTTCTTCTTCATATTGTGATGCTAGTTCTTTGCAAACAGCAAGAGCACATTCCCACATTCTTCCCTTATCGAAATAATCAATGATGTCATTGTATAATGCTTCTTTCAATTCTCGATGTGTTTGGCATAACGGATATCTGGAAAAATAGTATAATGATTTAACACTAATGTTATTAAATCTATCATAAACTTGCTATGTATAAATAATACTATTAATTCAATTTTGATTGATAATGTTACCTGTGTGATATTAACAAAGGCGATAAAGGTTGATCACTCCATGCTAATAATTGGCTATGGAGCTTCAAAGAATAAGCTGCTTCTGTATAATTATCGCATTCTAAATGTAATTCACACAGCTTATTTACATATCTATAATAAAAAGAAAAATCATTTTAATAGCTGCTATATTAAGCCTTCTTGTAATAAAATATTCAATTTTAAATGCCAAATTTAAGATTAATATATTTAAAAAAATTAAATTAATCATATCGATTTAATCAGGCTTAATAAAATATAGATAATCAAAATGTTATAAAAATATATCAAATATTTTGCCCTTATACCTGATATACATTTCCTTTCTATTAATCTCAGAATAGAATTCTAATAAGTTTACAGTACAAAGCATACGATGTTCTTGGGATTCGGCATGAATAATATCACGATATTGTAATAAACGTTCCATGAGTCTAGATATAATGTCTACGAAACGTAAACCTTGCTCGCGCATTGTAGAATGTTTTTCGCATAAAGAACCCATAATATCAGTCCAAAGTGTACGAAAATATTCGTCGCCTCTGCCTCCTTCTACCTGTAGAAATAAATAAAAATTTAATGAAGCAATTTTTCATTGATAAATTTTAATTAAGAATCTTCATCTTTAATAATGTTATTAATAAACAATTTTTCCTATGATATAAATAATAACTACTATTTATTAACAACAAAACCAATTTGTTATCATTTTTTCGTTCAATATCGTTAAGAATTACAGAAAATCCTAAAACTATTTCTTATTTCAATATTTAATTATGCATATTACGTACTAGAATATCCAGTTTTGCAATCATTTCGTTTTCATATTCTGTAAAATTAGCTTTGATATGTGCAGGATCACGTTTAGTATCCCCATATCCTTCCACTATGCGTGAACTATAGTACTCGCATTGCATCATGTCGAAGAAAATGGGGATAGTAGCTTTTCTTAATTCGGTGTCGGGTATTAGTGCCATTTCAAGGATGGCACCAACTAAAGCGGGTACAAACAGTATTTTATGTTGTCCTAAATTGAACCACATAGATCTAATCTCGAACACAGTTGCTCTGTAATATAGCAAAGAGAAGAATAATAGAGAAGAGTAATTTTATTTCACTTCATTCACTTCATTCACTTCATTCACTTCATTCTCTTCATTCACTTCATTCACTACAATATTTAGATATAATTATTCAAAGAGTATGTTTTTTTGTTTCAGTCTTTTTCTAATTTGTTTAATAGTCAATTAAAACAATCAATTAAAATTATTACGTTACATAAGAAATATACCTGCGCATATCTTTATAACGTTTAATGATACGATTTCGTTTCGCCGGTGTAAATGTCTCCAATTGTAGAGCAGGTTGAGTTAGGAATGCAATGGCACAATGAAAGAAATTTGACCATGCTTGATGTTCAAATTCGGCAAAAAAATAATCTCGAATTGTCGCTGAGAAATATCGTAAAGAATTCAAAATAATGTTATTTTGAAGCATGATCATTTCACACCAGTCCCCTGGAAACACGCTTCTGGAAACCAGATCTTTGAAGACTAACAATATCTCCATAAGAAAATCAAGTAAATCAATTTTTGTTCCAAAATGATTGATATACACTTCATAATGGTGTTGCGTCATTTGTCTGAGAAAAAAAAAAAGATTAAAAAAGAAGATAAAAAATGTCTTAAGAAAAGAATTCTCGTAATATTTTGTAATCGTTTCATATTCTTGGAATCTTAAAAATACCTGAATATCGCCAACATTACTGAAACTAAATTTCCAACTAAAGGATTTTCTCTATCCATTGATATAACAGTCTGTATAATGGTACGTAAAGCTGTTAACATTATTTCCTTGACGTCTGAAACTGTACTACCTATGTCTTTTCTAAAAGTCAGTTCCAGTATATCAGATAATATCTTAACACACAATTCCACCTATGGAAATACAAAAACGAATATAAAAAACAGATATAAATAACTTACGTGAATTATATCTATTTCTATAAACTTATTATAAAAATACGTAAATCTAAAACATCTAAATTAGTGCGTAATATAATATACATTCTGCAATCACTCACATAAAAACTCATGTAACGCGAATTACGGATGCTAAAACTGTTATGCCACACAACAGACATAAATGCAAATTACATCAAAGTTCTATATTAAATAATCTCAAAATATGTCATAATGCCATGAAGAAACGCACTATTTATCTGCGTAGAAGATTTTGGAATTTCTTGCATTTATGACAAAGATTACCTCTTCGGAGTAGCCGCGATGTTGGTTGAGTCGATGTCGATTTTCGCCGAGCAGCCTGGCTACCTTCGCCACACTCTTTCCAGGCGTACTCGATAGCCCCTTTAAACGCCATTAACCAAAACCAAACCGTACAAAAAAAAAATGAAACAACCCTTGTTAGTTAAGAAAAAAATAATACCATTTTCTAAAGTCGTATACAACTACATTGTTGAAAATTTCTCCCAACACCACCATAAATATAGAACTGCAGAAAAGACATAGCTAAGCGATATAAGATATCAATAAAAAATATTCGTAATACATTCCAAATAGATATTATTAGATATTTTTCATCTAATAATTTTCAGTTTTTTATGTTAAATAATTTTATGTAAAAGTCTATCGCACAGAATAAACATTATGCAATAACAATACTGGACAAACACATGCTACATTCCAAGTCTTAATCTTTCCCGACACATACATTTCCTTTTACATGCTTTATCAAAACTAAAGGATGTCTTTCAATAATGTATTTTCAGCTAATGCAACTTATTAAATTTTTATTATTATTATAATTTTATTTATAATTTATATTATAATTTACATGTAACATGTTTCTTTCTTTAATGCAAGATCTACAAATCGACTAGTAAAATTCATAAAAAAATTTAATTAATAAATATTCAAAAAATAAAAGTGAAGAGACATCCTCCGTAAAAAGAGAAGTTCGAGAAGATTCATAGAAAGATGCGTGGCAGAAGGACCGCAGGCTGCACGGGAAGCAATGATGTTTATCATACGTCACGCTGATATTAAATATTAAGTAAAAATTTATATGAGTCTGATCAAACTTAGTTATATGCAAATGTGTGTGTGTGTGTGTGTGTGTGTGTGTGTGTAGTTAGGATTTATCGTAAAATATTGATAATAGTAGTATATGTAGTATATGATTGATGAATCGACATTATTTCTTGTGAAATATAGATAAGTAACATTCCATTTTGCTTAAACAAAAAGTTAGGAAATCGCAGCGTTAGGAAATAGCATAATTTATAATGTCTTACCTCTTCTTTGGCTTCCAATAAGTCTCTCACAAGTATAGTAATTCTCGGTAATAAAATCGCTCTACAATCCACATTTAAAAAAAGTGGACTATGGACAATGTCGTTTACTGTCATCATTTTTTGTTTGGTTAATCGACCTGTTGGTAAAGTCACAAGTAAATCTGTTAAAATTGTGCTCAATTGCTTGCCACTATAAACTCTTAATAAATGAGGTATCGTTGTTGGTAGATATTTGAGACAGGCTCCTTGAACCAACAAAGTTCCATCTGTTTCATGACTCATGAGATTAACGATAGACCGTAATAGATCAGTTAAAGTTTGTGAGAATTCTTCTTCATCCTGATTTAACCTTTGAAAATTAATTATAGATATTTATTAAATCACATACTTCTTTCTTAGACTATACACACTCATAGCTATATTTATTACGTTGTTGTATTTAGATCATTTTATAAAATGTTTCATTTACAATCATGTAATGTATAGGAAAAATATTATATGTAATGACAAATAAAACTTACTCAGTGAATAAAAGACGAGATTCGACAATAAATCTCATGCAGTATTGTAGACTTTTCATTGTTTTAAGCAATAAATCTCGTTCTTGACCATCGCCATTGCTAACGTTGTCTATACGTTTGCGCAATACCACAATTAATTTTTTATATGCGAGAGTTGCAGAGAAACTTTCAGAAATGTATAAATCTAATACTGGTTGAAAATGCTGATACTTTCTATCGGACACGAGTCCAATAATATATAAAAGGCACTCAAAAACCATGTCATCGTAGACATCACTATCTGAATTACTCATTAAGATATTAAATAAAGCATCCAAAACATCCTAAAACATAATGTTAATTTATACACAATTATTCTTGATCATTTTTCTATTATGTATATACATAATCCTCATTCTTAATATAAAAAAGATTTATTGTACCTGCAGAAACTTCACTATTTCCTCCCCATCAACTTTCATTAAAGCAGCTAAAGATTCTTTTAAATCCGTATTGTGCGATGCCCAATTAAGTAAACCTAATAAATCTACATTCTGAGTTAATTTAGTTGAGCAAATATTGGTCGCTATCAGAAAGCTATCCTTACTACTTAATGTTAGCGATCCCAAACTTGGTTTTTTTTCCATATTTAATTCAGCCTAAAATAAACAAAAATAAAAAAATAAATAAAAAATAAAATGCGCAAAATCGTGAAAAAAAATATCAATTTCTTTTATCTTTATCAAATTGATAAATATACCAATTCTCCACGCGTCGATGGCAACTTGAAGTAAGATATATCGCTCTCTTCGTACTTTTTCTGTTCTAGTTTGTAAACCAACAATTCATGTTGTATATCTTGCAGAGTTGTTCCATTATATTGCATTAATCGAATGTAACTTAAAGCAAATGGCTTTTCAGACTTATCTTTCGCTTCATTAGAACTGCGATGCTTAAAGGTAAACTTCAAATGAGCCTGCCTAAATTCCTCTATAGGTATAGCAATCTTAAACGTTTCGCACCATCTAGGCTTGTCTTCGTGATAATAAATAACACTGTGATACTCATCAATTGGTGACGCGCCGCCACCTAATGTTATAACTCCGGGAATTGCTATACCATATTCATTACATACTTTAACCTGTTGAAAGATAGGATTATTCACGTGTGTAATTATAAGCATACAATCTTTAAATATATATTCTTACTAACCGTTACTTCAACATTTTTATCCGTAGATTTTGAACCTTTGCTAAATTCACCACTAATTAAAGTCAGATACAGATCATTACGTACGTCACCTGGTAAAATAACTTCTGGGAATCCCATTTTACGCGCGATAGCAACATTACCAAGTACCAAGTGTGGATTCTCATCACGTACCTTTTTGTAAGCATTCGAAATTGCAAAATGTAATATTTTTCTTGCAGCACAATTATAAAATAATTTTATTTAAAAAAAAGACTCACCTGTTTCGGATCGCCTCTCAATAATTTTAAGCTAGTCCACAATCCTTGTCCACCTGTGACATTAGCGATATTACCATTGACATGTTTTTGAACATTAGCTTCTTTCTGCGCGATAATTCTACGTAATGTGCCATCGAGACTATCTTTCTCACAACATCTGGAACAAAGATAGGAAACCAACAAAAACGGTTCTATTTTGATTTTGTAAGAAGTATCAATTTTTTTGCTTGATGTTTGAATAAATATCATACTTTTGAATTTAATAAATCCAAAGCACCTGTTTTATACTTATTGATATATATATACTTACTGTACAAAAGGTATAAAATGATGTTGCTCAACATCACCCTCAAGCTTGCCAGTAATAAATAAGGTAATATCCATCGCGGCTACACCAAACGGTCTTCGCATGCTCTCTACGTTTTTAGCTTTACCCTGATTAATTTGCGCGACACTCGAGCGACGGTGGTCTGGTTCTTTGGCTTCCATGCCGCCTATCCTAATTACATAACATGCTAAATAAACTTTGTCCCTCGTCAAATCTCTAGAACCAAGATCCGTGAATAATACTCTAAGGTTGTGCAATTGATCAATATCTCTTGCAAGTCCTTCTTTACTCCATGATACCACATAGTTCTCCGTGATAGCTTTCATTCCTCGACCGTCATACAAAGTCAATAGCAGCTCTACATCCTCTGCCATTTTACACACGAAATTTCTCACACTGACAAAAAAGATATGCGAATATACAGGTACTTGTGGCTTATACAGCTTCTTTTTGGTATCATTGCACGCTTTTCTTATCCTTTCCGCGGCAGTTTCATGATGATAATATAATTGAATAGTGCTTGTCTCCATGGGATTCAAGATATTTCCATGCTCGTCTCGAACCACCATGTCCAAGCCCAATAATTGATTTCCAGTGTCTATTTTTGCTGTTGCTAATCTTTTCATATCCTTTAATTCGTCTACTGTTAAAGTGCCACTCAAAATCTTGCTTCTGTATCCAATTGCATCCAGAATCTGTTGTTGCATCGTCCTGAAGTGCTCTGAGTGAGTCTATACATATACAAAATTATCGTGTGATATCTGTAAAAGTCTCTTTATTTTTTGAGACAAAAAAATAAATTAACAATATAAGCTATAACAAGCGCTTTGTACATACCACATATAAATGCTTCCAATGATGCCCCCATTCTCGTAAGACGCTGGTAATCTCCTGCACTAAGTTATCTGTATTTGTTGATTTCTGCAGAGTATGTATATAGGATTTTGGAAAAATTCCAGATGTCCCCTTAAGCTTGCTACGGCCGTAATACCAATCTGCACATTCCCCAGTTATTTGTACAACCTCGCCGACTGTTAAACATATCGCATGTGGGATTGTATGTGCAAAATTGTGGATAGCTAAAGTGGTAAAACAAAAAAATAAATACAAAGGATGTATTTGATGATTGTAAAAAATTAATACAAAGGATATATTTGATGATTATTTAATTGATAGCTTTTCAGGATTGTGCATAGAAATTTTGAAAAAAATTTGTTATGGAAAATAATAATTCTTTCCACTTTTAAAAGCAATATTCTTTTGAAAGCATTATTCTTTTTGAAAATTTAGATATTTTTCAATAAAGTCTTTTGCAATCTCATTTAAAACCATTTAAAACTGATTTTGATGTCAAATTTTAAAAATGTACAAATATTTTTACATTGTAATTAACATTCTTTTGTAAATGCATCTTTTATCATACTTATTTCTTATTTTTATCTATCCTATCATGTTTATTTCTAGACTTTTAAACATTACTTAATAAATTATTGTAAATTATAATAATTTATTAGAATTTATTATAAATTATAATTTATTATACTATAATAAATTAAATAATTTTAAATAAAAATAATTTACTGTACTATAATAAATTATTTAATAAATTGTATGCTAAATTCATAAAAATAAAATACAAATATATGTAACACTTTTAAATAACCAGTATCTATTGCATATTTGTTTATTGACATCATTGAAAACAAGAAGAGGAATAACTAATATTATTCTTCTGACATCTTCATTTTTTTTTGTATTTTCATACTGAAAGAATAATTTGTCATTTACATCATTCGAACAATACAGTGTTCGATATGCGCGCAAACGTCATGCGAAGTAAGTCACAAATGACAAACTGCAATTTCAGTATTCGGACGTGAGACGCGAGGAATGGGGAATGCAGCTCGTCCGTTCGACCGCGTCAGAAAATTTATCTGAATTCGGAGGGGGGCACCTCCCAGGATGTTGGAATTTCGCAGTAGCAGGTTATTCATTCTCGCATATCAAGAGCCACTCCTCACCTATTCCCGAATGCTCCTCAATCCGCTTCCATGTCATTGTCATTTTACTTAGGACACTTGGCACGTCTGAGGATATTTACGGTAATTACATCTCGACTTGTATTCCGCCAGAGTAAAGAAAATATTGCCCCATTCTACCTTCTAGCCATCTAACTATAACGCTACGAAACAGGATGTCACTTCCTCACTGTATATTGTCACAATGAGAGTGACGGGTGAGGAGAGTGAGGAGAATAGAGAGAAGGGGAGAGATCTCTGGCGGAAAGGTCATAATATCGCTTCCTCGATGAGTTTCGGAACGCGTCGGTGTTGCGAAAGATATACGGACACAGGGCCATTTCAATCAGATTGTGATTAACTTAATCGACTATTAATTTATCCGGCAAAATTAATTGAAGTAAACATTTTAATTTCTTGATCCAATTTTTTCTTCTATTATACAGTAAATATAAAAAATAAATATTTTTACTTAGATCTCACACAATGAGTGGAATAAGAAATTAAAAATGAAAGTGATTAAAATCAGATCATCAAATTTCGACATATAGAAGTATGTCGAAATGCTTCAATATTTAATCAATATTAAATACTAAAATTTAATCAATACTAAAATTTAATCAATACTAAAATGTATTCTTTCATGAAATTTTTTGTTTTCAATTTTTATATTTAATTCTTTATTTCTTATTCCTGCTTATTATGTCTGAGCTCTTACGTTAACAGCATAATATAGCTATTATCTGAGAAGTTAATCGTTAATTAAATTAATTGGTTTATTTGATTTACTCATGATTTTTTTTAATTTTTAAAATAGGTAAAAAGAATGTATAAAATATATGTAAAAAATAAATTAAATTAGATTAAATGTATGTAAAAAATAGATTAAATTAGATTAAAGTTAATCTACATTGGTAGGAATGGACATAAGAAAAATAGAAGAAAAATGCAAATGAAAATAAGATTTTCAGTGGTATTCAGTGGTTATTCTCTACTTGTTATCTGCATAATATGTAATCTGCATAATCAATATACAATAATAAATTTGCAGGTTAGAAGTACACTGCAATGCACAATAGATGGCATCTGCTATTCGCTAACTTCCGACCGCATCACACTCAGCTGTTCATTCCCATCGCGTCGTTGATCGTTGCGTTTCGTTTGGTATTCGCGGTTCCTATGTCGGTGTGTGTTTCGGATTTTGTGTTGCTGCCGTCTCGTCATTGGAATAATTATCAAAATCATCATCATCATGGTACCTAGTTGCACGGCCGAGCTCAATAAGCTGATGAATGAATTAGAAGTAAGCGAACTGGAGGTGAGTTTCGGACTTGCGCTGCCGCAAGCGTTTTATAGGTTATGTCGACTGTCGTCAATACTTTTTTTATAGCCAAATTTGGAAAACATAACGGTTGCAGAATTGTTGAGTGAACGGTTGCTATTATTAATATAGTCTTCTAAATTTAATTTGAATCTAAAGGTCCACTCTAATTACAAGGAATGATTTTTGAATGCTCATTCAATTATCGTGTTTTCTGAATGCTCAATGTATGCCTTTGTGTACGATATGTAAAATGCACTTTAGATTGAACATTGTTGGTGTGAGAAGGATTTCCGTTAATGATTCGTATTCCATTGTTTCAGGCTCCAACTGGAGTTCTTAGTGTCCAAGCTTATATGCAACTACTGACTATCTACCTCCATCAGAATGATCTGTGAGTAGAAAATCTTTTCGTTATCTGATGCTATTTGTTTTTTTACTAAGAAATACTATATCTTTAAATAGATATAGTATTTCTTAGATATTTTTATTATCTTTTATTGTTTTACTAATAGTACTAAGTCAAGCTAAAATTAGAGATATAACTAGAGATTTAGATGTAACAGATTAAAGTTTTCATAATATCTACTTATTAACTTATTCCTTTAGGCTACAATGTAATAAAATATAATAACAGATAGTAAATTATACATAGCAAAGCATATTTTTAAATAATACGTTAGTTTGTTAATTATTATTGAATATAATATTTATGTCAAAGAAATAGTGAAATATTTGCTTTATTAAAAATTTGTGCATATTTTTATGCAGTGTTATTTAAAGAGCTATTGAGCTTATAAATTGAAAAAAAAGAGATTAGATTCTTGAATTTAATTTATTTAAGCGTTTAATGTTACAATAATTCCTAAAAAAGAATTTTTTATTTCTCGGTTACGTTTTATTTCAGATTTTAAAAACATTTTATAAATATTTTATAATATTAATATATTTTTTCTTTATATTTATTGTTATATAATCAATATTCTTCATTTTATTTCTTACATATTTTTGAAGTTTTGATGACCCGATAGTTTATCTACGATCTAGCTATCTCTTATTCCTTCACGTTCTTGCGCTTGTTCTTATATAATCATTCGAAGAACAGCTCGACTTAAAGATATCTCGAGAGTACCTTTGTTGCTCGCAATGCTAAAATCACGATGAACGTTTTGCGCGAAGAGTCACGAATGTCACGCGAAATATTTCGTAAATCGATCTTATTTTTACATGGTTACATTCGAAATATTTGGGAGTGTGGCTGGTTCTCTTATCGATTAACCCGCTTGAATGAACCCGATTGGCGGTCGCAGGTGCAACGCAAAGTACCTCTGGAAGAGAATCCCTTCAGATATGAAGACCGCCAACGAGGAGCTCGGTCGGGTGTGGACGGTAGGCCAATGCATGTGGCAGCGCAACTGGCCCGCGGTTCATACGGCCCTCAATGTGGAATGGAGCGAAGATGTCAAAGACGTCATGACAGCACTCAAAGGTAAGTCAATAAGGCAATCTACTTAGAATCAATAGAATTAATTAAAAATTTAAACTTAGAATTAATTTAAAAAAATTTGCTGTGCCAATTAGTCACAATTAGCAACATTGATTATTGAATTATATTCGTTATTCTTCTCTCTTGTACAAGCAAAGAATACTTACATTTTCTTGTAAAAGATATATATCTGTAAGCAGATTTTTTGCATGTAGGTACATGTAATTGTCGCGAATGCTCAGTTCTGAGGATTACTAATTATGATAATAATGATAGAACTTTGTCAAATCATTGAATGCAGATTCGACATTTGTTGTTTTTTAAATAATTTTAATACGTTGCTGTAGGGCTCTTTATTATTATAACGATCGTTTAAGCATATATATGTTTATATGGAGAGTATTTGGTAGATTTTAACTAATATAATACGCGAGTCGGCTTCGCGTTAACTATGGCAAGTCGCTTTCCTTATTTAGCGCCCTACATCCGTAGAAGCAAGGACTAAATATGTACCTTATTATAATTAACGACAATCAATTGTTATTAAACCCACCGTCTACATAATTATCGCTTGCAACGCCAGCCGATAATCGATTATTCAAGCGGAATCTGCACAGCACATTGGAGTCACACTACTCGAACCTCTCACTCGATCAATTATTAAGCCACCGCTCGAATCCACCTGCGCTAACAGAATCCCCCGATTTCGATCCCCCCGATTTTTGCAGACAATGTTCGAGAACGGGTGATGAGGCTGATATCGAAGGCATATTCGTCCCTGAACCTGGCGACCATGGCGACGATGAGCGGAATGTCGTTGGATGAGGCGCGACAGGCTGCCATCGATAGGGGTTGGACCGTCGATGGCACCATAGTACAACCGCGCAAACAGATCGACGAGGAACAATACAGCCAATCGGACAAGATCTGCCTGACGGAGGAGCAGCTGCAAAAGCTCACGCAATTCGTGTCCTTTTTGGAGAATTGAGGAAGCTACGCCGTTCCTTGTTATCCTCGGCATGTGAACTCGGATTTGCCGCGCGGTCTCTATGACGGACTTAAAATTCCTCTCGCAATCTCGCCTCGTAATCCTATTATATAAAGGAGGAAGTGCGCGCCAAAGGTAACATCATCGATGTTCGCGTTCATAAAATAGGCATACCTCGGTGAGAGTAAGAGAGAGAGAGAGAGAGAGAGAGAGAGAGAGAGAGAGAGAGAGAGAGAGAGAGAGAGAGAGAGAGAGAGGAGAGAGAGAGAGAGAGAGAGAGAGAGAGAGACGACGACGTACGTACGTACGTACGTACGTACGT